CTGAGTTTATCATCTGTACCTCTATAACTGTCTAGTTTGGTTCTGCAACCCAACAGGACAGACACACTTCAGAGAATAATTAGGATTGCAGAAAAAAACAATTACTACCAATCTGCCTTCAATCAAGAACCTGTATACTGCACAAGTCAAAAAGAGGGCTGTGAAAATATTTACAGACCCCTCATATCCCGGACATAAACTATTTCAACTCCTTCCTCAAAACAACACTTAGAGCACTGCACACCAAAACTGGACACAAGAACAGTTTTTTCCCCCCGAAAGCCATCACTCTGCTAAACAAATAATTCCCTCAACATTATTCAACTATTTACAAAGTCGGCACTATTATTACTATTAATCTTCTCATCACTCCTTATCACCCATCCCCTCCCACTTGTGACTGTGTGACTGTAACTTTGTCACTTGTATCCTTACTATTTATATTGAATGTTTCCTAGTATGATTTGATTGCTTATTGTACCCTATGACTATCATTAAGTGTTGTATCTTATGATTCTTGACTCTTGACGAATGTATCTTTTCTTTTATGTATACTGAGAGCATTTGCACCAAGACAAATTCCTTGTGTGTCTAATCACACTTGGCCAATAAAGAATTCTATTCTATTCTATTCTATTCTATTCTATTCTATTCTATTCTATTCTATTCTATTCTATTCTATTCTAGTGAAGTGCGCTAAGTTTAAGTATATTGCACCGAGGTGCTGCACGAACAGTGAGCAGCCATGAAGATGTGAGAGGAACATGGGGAGACGGGCAACTTTCTTTCCACCCTGAGGCACCGGCTGGGCCAGCTGTGGCTGTCGCTGCTGCTCTCACCACCTTCATTGCTGCTCACTGGTGTTGCAGCGCCTCGCAGAGCACGCTTAAACTTAGCGCGTTTCACAAGAAAGAGAGAAATGAGAGAAAGAAAGAGAGAGAGGGAGAGATGAGAGAGAGATGAAAGAGACACACACCTGTTTAAAAGAAAATACTGGGAGCCACAAAACCCGAGTGGGCGTGGCTTGGGGATCATGTGACTGGGTTGTGGTGAGTGATGTCGAGATGGCCACGCCCACCCAGGTTTTATGGCTCCCGGTATTTTCTTTTATGTGGAAAATGGGTCCAAATACCTCTTTCAGCCTTTAAGGTTGCCAAACCCCTACACTAGAATCACGTATAGCGATTCTTGATTTCTTGAATCAAGAAGAAATCAAGAAAGAGGCTTAAAAGGAACCCTTTCAATCCCTAATCCCCATTCCCGGCCTTTTACCTGGACACCGTGCATGATATAAACCTTTTCCGCCTCGCTCAGGACCACCGACGCCATAATAATTACTTCTTAAGCGCAGACTCCTTCTTCTCCAACACCAAGAACCTCTCATCCGATTGTTAAAAAAAGGCGCCTGACACCACCATAGAGTTCTATTAGCCTCGCGCGTCGCAGCGCTTTCTGATTACGTCAGTCTCATTAGTCCTCCCCGTCTCCGGTTTTTGGTTTCTTCCCGTTCTGTTACGAATGCGTGGAGAAATGGCATCCTCTCCTATTCTCACTGGGTGATTCGTTCCTTGGTCGTACGTCACGGATGGCGAGGGAAGCTCAACTTCGGGATTTTCAGTCTTCAGTGCAGTTCTTTTTGGAGAAGCGAGACGGTGCTTCTCATGTTCAAGGCATTCTTCACAATCGTAGGTATGTTTAATCATATACAAATCCAGCTGATCGCGTCAGATAAATGTACCCTGGACTATGGTTTTATTTGCGAGTATACTATGGCTAAATTTATGAGTAGATTTCTGTGCAAGTAGAATAGACTCAAGGTGATGCATAATATCCCGAATATAATCGGTTTCAGAATTTGAAATTTTAAACATAATAGTTACAATGCAGAAGCAATAAATAAATCTGATATAGGCTCTACATCTGGCCTTTTCAATGATACTCAGTATTGAATATGAATTCAGTATCTGAAAAAGATGTTCATAATAATAGACAAATTATTTCTTTTCCATACTCTAATGGGAAACGCTTAATTCCATACACCTAATGGAAATGCTGCTTGTCTTTTGATCAATCAAAGCCATATTAAAGTTTCTAATTTGTTGTTTTTGCAGGAAAAAAAATCGTTGTAATTCTAAATGTTTTAGGAATAAGCTTTCATTTATTATAATTTATTTAGTTAAAAGTGTGGAATATTGACCTTAGAAAGATATATTACATCCATGGTTATGGGTCACCAATTTATAGATAACTAATGTAAGACAATCTTGCCTCTGTCACGCCAGATTAGATAGACAAGCATGTGTCTTTCCATTATCACAATCAGTTCTAAAAATGCTTTCCTCTAGCTTAAAAGAATGACAGTATTTGAAGTAAAGTAACTACAATGTTGCTCCTTTCAGTAACTCTATTAACTATATATAGTAAGGCTATTCTTTTAGCTAAGCCTATATAGACATTTATTTCAATAGAATTTTCCAACACACACACACACACACACACACACACACACACACACACACACACACTATAGAGTTCCTGACCTGAATTGCAAATTGGAATAAAAAACTTACCATGTTTGGGTAATGGTGGAAGTCATTTTGAGCACTGTATGTGTAATGCTGTATATATTCTTCTTTGGAATTGTTTCTGCAGTTAACATTCCTGCAATAGCATCAGTAGAATGGTAACACCCAGGTTTATCTATGTTAGTCTATGGCAGGGGTGTCAAACTTATGTCGTCACATGTTACGTATAGAAAATTTCCCCCCTTCGCTAAACTGGGCATGGGCACGGACAGCACATGACACATCTGGCCCAGGGGCTTGACAGCGGTCTATGGTGACAAAATATCAAGAGTTTGGGCATATTTTGTAAATAACAAATTTTATTCAAAGGACACATTTTCGTGAGCTGCAGTTCACTTCATTAGATGCATACAGCTCATGAAAACATCTACCTTTTAATAAAAATGGTTAGTCAAAAGTCAAACTCCTAATTTTTGATACCTAATTCTGTTTCCCCTTTATCTTTAAATGTACCAATTCTGAATAAATTATAGTATCCTTTAAAAATAGTTTGAAGTGTAATATGTTGCTGGTTCATTTTATTCTCTTGATTTCTAGATAACTTGTGTGGCCTCTAGGATTAACATACCATTGCTGAGCACAATATACTATATTACTGTACTGACTCCAAATTTGACTATTAAAATATATTGGTTTGGCTGCTGATGCAATCAGAACCTACAGCTAAACTCTAGTGCAAAATATACTAAAAATGAAACTGATTAACCTCTTCAAGTTAGTAAGTATTGGTCTGTAGCTTAATTTCTGCTTCTTTATTATGCAGCCTTATTTTAAGATTGTTATTTTTTCTCACTTTAGGATCTTTTTGAATTTATTTTTAATCAGATTATTATAATGGTATAATTTTCTTGCACTGTACATTTTATGGTTTGGATTTTTTAATGATTAATAGTATAAAAACAAACTTTCAGTAAAATAAAAGTAATATGTGAAACAAAACTTTTTTATTTGGAAAACCTGTGATATTGTGTGATTCTACTATTTACTATGGCAAATACTCAACATAAGATCACAACTGAGCCCAAAATTTCCATGGCTAAGCAAGACAGTTAAGTGAGTTTTGCTTCATTTTATGACCTTTTTTGCAGCATCTTTTAAGTGAATCATTGCAGTTCTTAACAGAACTGTTAAGTGAACCTGGCTTCCCCATTTATTTTGCTTGTCAGAAGGTCACAAAAGGTAATCACATAACCCAAGGACACTGCAACTGTCATAAATAGATGCCAGTTGCCAAATGTCCAAATTTTAATCACATGGCCATGGGGATACTACAGTGGTCCTAAGTATTAAAAAACGGTCCTAAGTTACTTTTGGCAGTGCCATTGTAATTTCAAATGATCATTAAACATATGGTTGTAAGTTGAGACTATTTGTAGTATATTTTTAGTATTCTAAGATGGCCTAGGTGAGGGCTGTCAAACTCCCTGTCCGTGGGCTGGATATGTCATGTGCTGGCCATGCCCACACCCAGTTTAATGAAGAGGGAGAATCCAGATAAGTCATGTGATGCCACCATGATGACGTGAGTTTGACATCCCTGGTCTAAGCCCTAAGACAAGCTGCTGTCTTAGGCCTTCTCAGACCACTACAGTAAATAAATAATTTATTATTTTATTATTTATTTATTAATAATTATTAATCTGTAAATATTGCTATCAGCAAATAGAACTCCATCTCTCACCTGTCAAGATGCATTATACCACAAACCACAAATTATTTGACACCTGAAGAAGTCTAATTCTAGATTTTGATAGTAACATTACAGTATACTAAATATTGCAATAGTTGATATTTAAGTATTTCCTGTATTTTAATGATACCTAAGGTATTTTCCCGTCTACCTATCAGTAAAATCATTGACTGTACTAAATGTTCTTTGATCCAATCTTAAGCATTAAGTTCAGCTGAAACATTACTGTACATTAAGGATAACTGATAATAAACGTTGACGGCTTTGTGTCGCATCTGTGTTCCTTACGCTTTCTGTATCAAGTGGAAAGGGGAGAACTCAGGCCAATTTAAGAGTACACCGCGTCGCGACCATAGTCCGTTCTATTTGGTCGTGATCGGAAGCACGGCCGTCTGCGCGTGCGCGGACAAAAACAATTGGCGCCGAAGGGGAAATCGCCGCGGCGATTTTTGGGTCTGCTTCGTCGCCACCCGAAGATCTATTTGCTATCAGAAGCAAAACTTATTAAAATTCTGGTCGTCACCCGATTTGGTCGCGAACAGAAGCGTTCGCGACCCGAGGTTCCGCTGTACTTCAATCAATAGCCCTATTCAATGAGCGCACTTCTAGTTACTGGAGGATGTGACAGCAACCATGCAGCTGCCGCAGGAGTGACCGGCACGCCTCCTTCAAGACGGTCTGTCCCCTCGGTGGGAGGGAGGCGTTGCGATTCTGCGGAAGCAATTTCGCCGTTACTCACTTCCTGGTTTCTCCTTTTTCTTTCGCAGCGCGAATGGGGAAGCTGCGAAAGGAGAGGGGTAACCCTTAGTCTTATCTCTCAGCAAGGAGCTCCGGGCTGGGTGTTGAAGGGCTGGTTTCTCCGTCTGCTGGCAGGCGAATGGAACGCTGTGCTGGGCTGAGCGGTGGAAAGTCGAACCAGGAGAAGCGGGCCGCTGGCAGAGCGGGGGCGGCATCAAAGGCAGCGGCGAGCGTGTTGCCTCATCTTCAGCCTGGGTAAGTTAAAGAGAGGAGTTCGTCCAGTAGGAAATGTTTCCATTCCGTGGATTTTGAGCTCTCGCTGGGAAAAGCGGTAAGTGCGCATCAAAGAGACAGCGTTAAGCGAAAGATCTGCAACGTTGCCTTTTCTGCAATCGAGAACATGCGACGGGAGCCCTGCAGGTGGATATGCCCCTCGCGCGCCTGAGTAAGAGACAAATAGAAGAGTGAATCAAGGAAGCTCATAATTTTGGCCCTGGTTAGATAGGCGGTATGATTTTGACAAGGTAAAAAGACAATAACACCGAGAGTCAAGAGAGGGCCCGACCACGTCCTTATTGGAACTCTTGGAACTCTAATCATGTTTCGCTATCTGATGCAGTTCCTTTTCTTTCTGAATGCTTTGAATCCAAAATCCAAAGAAATATGCTTCTGGGCTGCCAAATCATGTTTCCTTTTCCAATACATGCAGCCAGATTGGAAAATTTGGAGTGAATTGATGATGTGGTTTTCACTGTAGATACAAAGATTCCTGTAGTTGTCCTCCATCAAAGCCTTTTTATGAGCTCATATCTTTATGAGCTGCTAAGAGTCATATGATTATGATAGGATATAACTTTGATAATTAAATAGAATATTTCATTATTCCTAGGGATGGATTGCCATTTTCATCAATTTATATTTTTTTAGTAATTTTGTTAAACATAATTAAAACAATAAAAACATAACTAATTAAAAAAATAGAAAGTACAGAAAAGAAAAACAGGAAAGAAAAGAAATAATATAATAAGGAAAATATTAAAAAAAAATCCTTCTTCATCACAATATATAAACAATTATAGTCACCTTTTTTAGAATACAACAAATCTCTTCTTCCCACGTCTCATATTTTACCTATCATCAACTCCTTAAAACTTCATCATTTAGTCCTGATCACCAAAAGTTCATTAAGGATTCCAGAGATAATATCTGTTTTAGTCCTGATTAAATAAAGCAATTTTATATTCTTTTTATTTTAACTATATTGATCTTTAATTCAAATAATATTCTAGAACTTTATTTCTTTTAAGTTTTCTTGTTCTTTTTCACAAAAATTTATAAAGCTTTAACAAGTCTCTCTTGTAAATCCAATATAGGAAAAGTATCAAGCACACTTTTGTTTTGTTATTTGTCTATCCGTTTTAATTATTAAGACATTAGTTGCTTCATCTGTATACTCAGGGTAGCATATTTTTCCAGATCCTACTTGTATTTTTTCATTTTTAAATTCACTTTCAGATTAGTCTCAGTCTTGTCCAATATAGCTTGTTCCTTTTCCATTACATCTTTTAAACATAGTCTGTCTATAATGACATATACTTTTAAAATTAACTTCCGAATCTACTGTTCACAAATAACCTTCAGTAAGTCCAATGTTAAAGTATTCTGCTTTATTCTGTATTAGTAAGTCAAATTTGAATGTTCTCCTTTAATTGTAATCTTTAGGGTTTTTTTCTGGGTCCCTTTAGTGTAGTTATTTCCAAACTGTGACCAAAAGTCACATGAGGCTCTAGACAACTAACAATGTAGCCCCAAAAGATCTTAAATGTTTAACATATGATTTATATACATTATATGTGGTCCAAAATAATTCATCTTGTCTCAGTGCATCCGGGCAAGCTAAAAGGTTGGACATCCATAAGCTAGTATCCAATCTTCACAATATCCCTTTTTTTTTAAGAATTCAAAACAAAAGCATTTTCCATAGGAAGGATTCTGAAAATTAATTCCAAACTTTTATTTCAATTTATCTGGATCCAGAATTCCAGAATTGACATTCTAATTACTCTTTTTCTATGTATTCAAAATAAAAGCTTTTTTTAAAAAAAAAAAGTCATAATCATTACAAATTTAAGGAAACTCATTTTGTTCTGTATATCTTGTCCATTCCAAGGTTTTAATAGTTAAAAAGAAGTTAATAAGCAATTTTCAAAAATGATTAGAAAAGGAAAATCCAAATATAGTGTCCATAAAGGCACCGACCACAGTTTGAACATAAATGGGAGTCAGGAGGAAGAGGAGGACTTGGCATTGGGGTTTGAACCTACTTTGCTGGAAGTTTCGGAATCCTCATCCTCTCCAGGACCTTCCTCATTAGTTATGCCTCAGGTGTCGGCAGATAAGCAGGAGAACGTGCCGGAGTCCTTGGATGAAGATCAAACCGAAGAATATTGGTTTGATGCAAGGAACAGACGTAAGCAGAAACGTCAAGCACAAACTGGAAGGAGATGTCGAATCAGGGACTGAGGAAAGAGACTGACACGCCCCTCAGGGAATATAAGGAGGCGTGTTAGCTTTGAATCCCCGTTTGGGTCAAACTTGTTAATTTGCGTCTGCAGTTTGGACAAAGTAATTCTGTTTGCCGTTCGTCTCTGATTTATAGTTCTGCTCATTATCAGAATTTGCAGACAGCTTCTGGGAAAACTGCCAACAACGAATTCAGCCAAAGGAAAGTTAACTCTGTTGTTCCTGATATTGTCTGTTCGTGTTTTTTCCTTTGGACATTTGGACTCTCACCTTGTGGCCACAGGTGAGACAGAACAATAGGTTATGTTGAAATTCATCATTCTATGATTACTGGTAGATAAATAATATCACTGCCCAAAAGCTAATAAGAGAAAGATGCAATTTAATGGGACAGGAATTGGGTACAATATACACTTACCACGTAGCTTGAATTTTACAAGGAAGTCTTGCTGTTTATACTTATGAGAGATTTTAACATGAAATTTATGCAGATCACTTCATATTCATTATTAATTTTCACTCTTATTTTTAGATGCTTGCCTTATAAGTACAAGTGGATCAGGTGGAATATGCTATTGTTCCTAGATAATCTATGATATTGTTGGAAGTAGTTTAGTAACTGGAGTCAATTGTCTTGGTAAGGGATATTTTTCACTGTAGTTTATCTTCCTTTTTTAAAGCTGGAATAGCTTCAATTTATTTTAAAAGACAAGTTACATAGTGTTATTTGAAAGAAATGCCCAACTTTAACACTTTAAATTTTGAAATATAAAAATGCTTTTCATAAAGAGAAATAGAGCAGTATAAGCATTAATTTTCAGTATTTCTTCACTCTTTCACTTTTTCCATTGTGACCAGTGGTCTCAATTAGTATGGTTAATGAATTCACAAAATGGTGGCATTATTTGAATTGCACTATTCCAAAGATATATTTCTATGGAAAATAGAGGAATTGGTTCTTGCTGTATAGAAATAGGCAAATAAATTTTTAAACATAAAGTTTTATATATTTCTTCATGAAATACATAATAAAGAAGATAAATCCATCTCCGAAACATACTTTCTATGTCCTATAATCTCCATTTCTTTGACAAATTTCTTTTTAAAATTTCCCTCTTCTTTCTTGAGATATGTTCAAATGGAGCCTTGTTCTTCTCCATGTTGCCCAAATGATTAGTGTCTAAAACCCCAATAGCAACTGGTCATGTAACTTCAACTGAGCCTTAGTAATACATGTACTAACCTCTCACTAACTGATTTGACAGTTAATTTCATACGTTTGTACTATGTAAAGTGGAATAGACCAATGGTCAGCAACTGGTGGTCCATGAGAAAATTTTGGTGGTCTGCAGAAAATTTATTTGCATTTTTTATATTGCCTAAATGAAGGGTCCTCAAATTACAGCTCCTGGGCCGGATACATGCAATGAACGTTTGTGCTGCTGCAGAGAGTCTCCTCCTTTGAGGTCTTTTTCTGTGGGTTGGAGGAGGGCAGAAATTCCAACTTGGGGTCTGCTTCAGCCTCCTGGTGCAGGGCTTTGGGTGAAGGTTGAAGGGAAGTGCTACTGGTGGCAAAGAGCCAGAGGGCATTGTTCCAGTGGGACTGTATCATGGCCTGGAACTGGCTGACTATCTCAGCCTGCTGAGCCTCCAGGCACCGGGACCTGGCCTTGCACTCCCGCAGGTCTTCCCTCTGCTTGGAAAGCCTATGCTTGTAGTACTCAGTGAGGTGCTTCTGCTGAGCCTCCTTCTTGGTCAGATCCAGTTTGAAGTGAGCCAGCCTGTTTTGCCAATTGTTTCTCATGGGGGCGCTTAGCTCCAACAACTGCTTCCTGTTGGGGCCCTAAGGAGCCCAGGCAGGCAGGCGAGGAGTGGCTGGGAGGGGAGGGGAGGGGAAAGAAGAGGCCAGTGAGGTGCCCCTCGATGTGAGTGACAAGAAGTTAGCCATGCCCACCAGCCACATGACAACCTAGCTACACCTAGGCAGATTATGCAGATCATATTAGTGGTCCGTGGGATTTAAAATTATTAATTTAATGGTCCCTGAGGTCCAAAAGGTTTGTGACCCCTGGAATAGACTATTCTTATTTTAAAAGATTTATGAGGTGGTTAATAATTTTTCACATATAGTGTTACATAAGTCACGTATTTTACTTGGCATTTATTCCTAAAATTTATCAGAGTTGTAAAGCTATTTTCTTACCTAAGAAAATATCTTACTTTGTGCATAAAAGCTTACATTCAACGTTTATTGGATGGCAAGGAAAGGTTTCTGGCAAAATTTTGCCAGCCAATAATTTACATTCTTCCTGTATCTTATGAATGGTAGAAGAATACAGCCCATAACATAGAATATAAATGTTGTTGAAGCAAAATCCAGTCTAATAATTTAATAAATGAATTAATTTGTAATAACATTTCAAAGCAATGTAGTTCATGTTCAGAATTGTAGTATGTCATCTGAAACATTGATAGTTAAACATTCTAGTTGCTTGATTTAGACAGATTTATTTATTAATCCATTTATATGTCTACCTACATCAGATCATGTGACTCTGGAAGTGTACTAAAAGAAAAAAAATAGGAAACCACAGTAATTCAATATAAAATAGCATCTAATTTAAACATACAATAATAAAGAAATAAAATGTAAACCAAAGCTAAAATCTACAGCTTGTTAGATTAAATATTACTGTTAACCAGGATGCATGTTTTCCTTAAAATTAACTGAA